TTTGACAGGGGGGGGGGGGAGAAAGGGATTGAAACTAGGATGCAATGAATGAGGTGTAGGAGGGAGAAGGAAAATGAAGGAGAGGGAGAAGGAAGAACCGGTGGAAGGGAGTGAGGAGGAGGCTCGAGGAAGCAAGAGGGCAGAAGAGAGAGGGAGAGAATGAGAGAGGGAGAGAGGAAAAGAGGGAGAGAGGAAGAGAGGGAGAGAGAGAGAGAGAGAGAGAGAGAGAGAGAGAGAGAGAGAGAGAGAGAGAGAGAGAGAGAGAGAGAGAGAGAGAGAGAGAGAGAGAGAGTGAGAGAGAGGAAGAGAGAGAGGGAGAGAGAGAGAGAGAGAGAGAGAGAGAGAGAGAGAGAGAGAGAGAGAGAGAGAGAGAGAGAGAGAGAGTGAGAGAGAGAGAGAGAGAGAGAGAGAGGAAGAGAGAGAGGGAGAGAGAGAGAGAGAGAGAGAGAGAGAGAGAGAGAGAGAGAGAGAGAGAGAGAGAGAGAGAGAGAGAGAGAGAGAGAGAGAGAGAGAGAGAGAGAGAGAGAGAGAGAGAGAGAGAGAGAGAGAGAGAGAGAGAGAGAGAGAGAGAGAGAGAGAGAGAGAGAGAGAGAGAGGGAAGGAAAGAGAGAGAGAGAGGGGAGGAAAGGGGAGAGAGAGAGAGGGAAGGAAAGAGAGAGAGAGAGGGGAGGATTGGGGATAGAGAGAGGGAAGGGAAAGAGAGAGAGAGAGAGAGGAAAGGAAGAGAGAGAAAGAGAGGGGGGGTGGGGAGAGAGAGAGAGGGAAGGAAGAGAGAGAGAGAAAGAGGGGGGGTGGGGAGAGAGAAGGAGGGAAGGGTGGAAGGAAGAACGGGAAATGGAAAAGGGGGAAAGGGTGAGAGGGAAAGGGAAAGGAGAGGAAGGGGGGGGAGAGGAAAAGCGAGAAAGGGAGAGAGGGAGAAGACATGTTTTTGCCTGGAGCTGGGAGGAAGTTGGGGAGAATATGGAAGTCAGAGAATGGACAGGGAAGGGGAAGAGGGGGGGGGGAGGCTCGCAGATGATGCCCTTCTCTCTCTCTCTCTCCCTCTCTCTCTTTCTCTCTCTCTCTCTCTTTCTTTCTTTCTCTCTCTCTCTTTCTCTTCTCTCTCTGTCTCTCTCTGTCTCTCTCTCTTTATCTCTCTCTCTCTCTTTTTTTTCTTTCTCTCTCTCTCTTTCTCTCTCTCTCTCTCTCTGTCTCTCTCTCTCTTTACCTCTCTCTCTCTCTCTCTCTCTCTCTCTCTCTCTCTCTTCTCTATCTCTCTCTCTCTCTCTCTCTCTCTCTTCTCTTTCCCTCTCTCTCTCTCTCTCTCTCTCTCTTTCTCTTTTTCTTTTTCGATATGTCTGTTTATTTTTTCCTTTTCTCTGCTTCTGTCTGTATGTTTGTCTGCCAACTTCCTCCCTTTCACATCTATCTTTCATTCCCCTTCTCTCTAATTCACTACCCTTTTCCCTATCTCTCACCATCTCCTCTCTCCCCCCCCCCCCTTCTCTCTCCTATTACCGAATCCTAAGCCAATTATTAGAATTTCCCCTCATCCACCTGCTCCCCTTCCCTCTCCCCTCTTTCCAGCAGCTCGGGGGGGGGGGGGGGGGAGCCACAACACAACCCGAGTTTACGCGCGAGAGGGACGTCGAGATGTTAAAGCCGGGTTGAGTTGTCGGGATCTTAAGGCATGTGAGACGCAGCTTTTGTTTCTATTTTGTTTATTAAAAAAAAAAAAAAAAATATGGACGTATTTGTCAATTTATTTTGTTTATTGATTAATTTGTTTATTATCCTTTGCAGCTATTTTTGGATCATTTTATGTTGTTGACGAGAAAAACTCACTCTTTCTCTCTTTCTGTCTTCCTCCTCTCTATCTATGACTCTTACACTCTCTCTATTGTTATGTCTATCCATCTCTATCTATATCGATCTATTTATCTTTCTATCGATCTTCTATCTATCTATTTATATATCTATCCATCTATACATATCTGCTTATCTGTCTAGCTACCTACTATCCATCAATCTATCTATCTTCTCTCTCTCTCTCTCTTTCTCTCTCTCTCTCTCTCTCTCTATCTCTCTCTCTCTCTTTCTTTCTTTCTCTCTCCCTCTCTCTCTCTCCCTCTCCCCCCGCCCTCTCTCTCCCTCTCCCTCCCTCCCACTCTCTCTCAATCTATCTGACTCACCAACCAACCAACTCACTCAACCAACCGACTCACCGACATGATGACGATGAGGCAGGTGGGTATGTAGGTGTGGAACAGATAATGGCCGAGGCGCCGTTTGAGTCGAAACACGATCTCGAGACAAGTGAAGTTACCTGGAATAGGGGAGAAAAAAAAGGGGGGGTGATTAGTTTTTGGAAATTGCCGTTGTTATTATTTTTGTTATTGTTATTATTATCATTATTACCATTATTGTTATTATTATTATTATTATTATTATTATTATTATTATTATTATCATTATTATTATCATCATTATTATTATCATTATTATTATCATTATTATTATT